CCCTAGAGAGTATACAAGAGATAAATACAAGAGTTACATGGCTAAGAGCTAAGCCTAGAATACATATCGATCTCTAGCTTACTCTATCTCTCTAAGAGATGCCATGGAAGCACTCCTCTGAGGCTTGAGGCTTCAGCCTCCAAGAGGCGTAGCTTTTGCTTAGTGCTTAGAGATCCTTGTCGTGATCTCTCCTCCTTTGTATTGTCACCACTTAACCTAATGGGCTTTAATAAATAGCCCATAAGTTGTCCGCGCGTAACTTGTCCAAAGCCGGCCCAAGTTGAACACGCCTGATGGGCTTTAACCAAACCTCACAGGAAAGGATGACGGAAAGCGACGCGAGCAAGCGGCGCACCACGGCCAGGATCGTGGATGATCTCAGTCACGACGCCCTTTAGGTATCCATTTCTCTCGCCGTAGTCGAGGCTGCGGAACTTGGCAGGACCCTTGCGGTGGTGGGTGTGGGACTTGAAGACGGAACCTGCTCCCTTTCGTTGAGCTCTGATGACACGACCCATACTCGACGGCGAAGGTTACAAAACCTTATGGAAAATGAGAAAAAAAGAAAACAATCTTTTTATTGTGGAAACTAAAGGTCTTCTTATGGGCTTGGATTAGATATCTTACTTCGACTATGGGCTTTTTATGAACTAAGGTCTATATTATCATCACCCTAAAACCTATTCAATATCTTATTATATATAAAACTTGGTTTTTCAAAGTTACTAATTAACACGATTGCGACACATGGCGACTATACATTTAAGAATGCGACATGTGTTAAAATACAAATCAGTTAATAATTAAAAAATAGTAATTATCCTTTTTAAAAAGATAGTAATTATCTTTTTTTTTTAATTAAAAATCCTTAGAAAGGAAAAATCTGGTTTTATTAGAAAATAGTAATTATATTTTTATATAAATTTAACACTAATTTTCGTTCTTTCAAATAATAACAAAAAGATAGTTGTAACAAATAAAATAGTTATTGTCCTTTTAAAAAATATTAATAATTGCTTAAAATATTGTAACTGTAAAAAACCTTTAAAGGAAAAAAAAGAAAAAAATAATTGTAAAAAAAAATAATTATCCTTTTAAAAAATAGTAATTATCCTTTTAAATAAGACTAAATCTTATTTTTCTTAATAAAAAGATTAAACCCGCTTAAAAAGGAAAATCAATTTAATGCTAGTCTGAAATAAAGAATAGTCATGTCTTTTAAGCCTTACTCTTGTCAATTTGATCTGGTAAAATCAAACTAACTAAAATCAAACCAACCCGAAATAGAAAAATTGTTTGGATTTGGTAATACAACAAAAAACAATATATGTAACTTTTAAAAACTGTAGTATATGGATATATTTCAGTATATAAATTGATCCAACCAAATAAACAAAAAACCTAATAATTAATATATTAGTATACTTATATGTAATTTTATAGTAAAAATATATATAATTTATTTTACTAATATGATATTTATAATTAAAGCATTGATTATAATAATAGTTTATTTTGTTTAAAGTTAAAAAAAGTTATTATGTTTATTTTATATTCAGAAAATTGAATATAAAATAATTTTAGTGATAAATTTTTGTGTTAAAATATAATTATTTAATAATTTTATGATCTTACTATTTTATTATTTTTATTTTTAATATTTAAGCAAAACATAAAATATTATAGTAAACACATGTTGTAACGGAAATTTCGTCGTAAAGTCCTCATAAGATTTACGAGGAAACATCGTCATCGTAACATAGAAGGAATGATTTTGTCGTAATGTACTCGTTATATGTCGTCGTAAAAGACTCGTAAAAAGTCAATATCTAAAATAAAAATAGAATATTAAGTATAAATAATAAAATATATGAATTTATTAAATTTTTATATAAAATATTATAAGATTACAATTTATAAACAACTATTGATTATTTTAATTATATTACTTATTATGATGAATAAAAATAAACAAAAAATAATATATATATATATATATATATATATATATATATATATATATATATATATATATATATGTATGTTTCTCTGTCAATGTAAATGTTATATATGATTTTTCGTGAAGCAAGAGAAAAAATTGATGATACAAAAATAATATTTATGACAATTCATTCAAACAGATAATATAAATTATAGTAATATTATATGTATAATTTTATGTAAATGATTTAGTTATTTATATTTTATAAAATAAAAAATATATTAAATCTAATTTAAAAAATAGGTTTGTTTGGTTTGAAAGCAAATGACATAAGTTAAAAAGGTAGACTATGTATTAATACTAGTTTTCATTAAATATGTGATCTGCTTTGTCTTGTTCTTAAACGAAAAACAATAAATTAGATTCTCTGGTACATTCTTAATACTAGTGTATTAAATTTGCTAAAATTGAGTTTGACTGAAGTGTTTAAAAAAGAATTATGTACTAATATTAATAAGAAAATAACTAGGCTTACATTTATTCGGCATCTGCAAGTGTTCAGCTCATTTTCTCCCTTTATATGCAGATCATAAATTTAACGAATAGTTTTCTTCTGCATGCAGATTTTTAGTTTTCTAATCATTTGTTTATGTTCTGCAATTATTTTGTTGAATGGGAAATAAATGGAGGATAAACTGCAAAGTAATTGAATTGCATTATTTATGTATCTCTCCTGCACTTCCATTCCAAGCCTATATATAGATATATAGGCTCCGAATGATGACTGCGGTTTGAGCAGTGCGGGACAAGCGGTTCAACTGCGGTGCGATTCTGACAATTATACAAATATATATATATGGTATATGTAGAGATTTTTGTTACTGTTAACTGCGGTGCAGGGCGGACGATTGCCACCATTCGAAGCCATAATACAATGAAATGTTATCGTTACGAATCTACGATGTCAACAATTTTCTCTGCTCTAAAAATCAGCCGCCTAGGCGGTCGCCTAGACGCTAGACGACCCTCTTCCGTCCCAATTTAAATCGTCGTAAAAAATTGATCATTCGATTTTAACCCGCCTGCACCGCCTAGATGACCGCCTAGCCGCCTAATCACTGAAATAAAGAAATCTATATTATAATGGTTGAATTTCAAGACTCTTCAGCGCGCCACCTCAGCATCAGGTGGGTTCCATTTTTTAAAAAAGTAAAAAATATCAAACCTATGATTCGAATCCGGATTATTTAAATAGAAACACTAACATTTATACCACTAAACTAAAGGATAACTTGTATATTGATGGGCATAACTAATATATATTTACGAAAGCCAGAAGTCCTTACTTCTTTGGCTTTCTTTGAGGGTCGGGTCTGCAAGTGTATTATGAGTTTCATTTTTGATTGAGTTTCATCACGTTATATGAAAAAAATTCTAAAGTTTACAACAGTTATAGTTTTTTATATTGTAAACCGTTGTCATTTAAGATGAGTTAAGATTCCTTTAATCATCGTCTCAGACAGATTTGAGTTACAGAGCTGCACCGTGTGTCTGCTCGTAATCTATTTTTTCACCGGTGAACTCTTCATCTCCCCATCTTACATCACTTGATCATAAATGTTCCTGATTTGTAGCCTCTCTGTAAATCCTATATATATGATTCTCATCTTTGATGTACCCAATCTGCATTTGCACAAAACTCATTGATTCCTTTTAGCATTAACCATCTCCTAGAAAATATCTCCGCCTGCTTCTCCAGTTCCTAAAACCAGCATCCACCATGCAACCTTTAAATCTCTGTGTCATGATAAGGTAAATATAAGCCACAAACGAAACTAATAACAATAGAAACAAAGTCATACAACAAATTCAAACCTTCTTATTGTAGGTTCCGAGAACGCCGAATCAACAGAGATTCCTTGAGTAAGGAATGCGACAGAGACAACCTTAGCTGAAGTAATCAAATCTCTCTTCCATGTCGCTATAGAACAACTATAATTTCACAAACTAACACACTAAAAACGCAAACCAGGCCAAGAATTGTCACACTGCTGAAGACAATGCAGAGAAACAAAAAGGAAGAATAAATGGTTATTCTAGTTTCAGACCTAAATTGAGACTCAAGACCCATCAAATTTCAAGCCCAATCAGTTAAATACCCAGCTACTATGTTTTCATTGTGTTCGAATATATACCTATACCACTTTAAAATTTTTAATCCACCATTCCCATTTTTTAAAGTACCACAAAATATTTTTTACAAATACAAAAAAACTAGGTGATTTTCCCGTGCTCATGCACGGATATAAATATTTATAAACAAATGTACTATAATAATTAATTGCTACTTATTTTAATATTAAATTAGCATTATTTACTTATTGATACTATATTACTTTAATTAGACATATAATTTTAGATATGTTATATTTGATATGTTTTTTGCCTTTACAGTTGATTTATATATTAGTTGTGTATATTGGATTGCATTTATTTCTCTAAATTCAACTATATTTTTTAATTTTAAATATATTTATTTAAAAGTTGTTTTTGGAACAGTAATTTTTTATATTAAATTTATTATTTGAATTTAGGTTGATTGTTTTATTAAATATGTAAATATAATTTACTAAAGTCAACTAAATATAAGAAAAAATAAAACATTTCAATAACACTAATTTTAAACTATTTTTAGTTAATTAAACATATTCAGTTTATATTAATTAATTATCTTATGTAATCTTCTAAGAAAATAGATAAATATATAAAAATATATTTCTATTACTTTGAAAATATATTTTTCTGTTGTTTTAAATTATGTTTGAAAAGAAACAATATTTCTTTTTCTATTACCAAAGTTATTTATGTGAAAGTTTTTTTTATCAAATTATATAAAAATATATATATATATATTTCATCTAAGAAAATATAGATATAAAGAAAGTATTTTATTACTCTAAAAGTATATTTTATGTTATTTAACACTGTTTTTTAAATGGAATATTACAATTTGTGAATTTTCCTTTTTAATAAAATAATATTATATATACATATATTTTCGTTTTAAATTTATTTTTTTAACTTTATAAATCTTTCCTTTTTATTATATATGTTATTTAGAAAGATTCAAAAAGGAAACTAAAGAAAAAAATTAATAATAGTATTTAAATGTAATATTTTAAATTCATTAAGGGTATCAAGGTAATCAATCATCCCCAGAGTTAACGTGAGCGCGACACATAAGAAACTGACTTCTCAAATAATAATATAGAGATAACTATCTTAGTCATACATGTATATAATTAAACAAAATTATACCATTATTAATCTAAAATTATATTTTCAAAAACATGTCATGGCACATACAAAAACAAACTATATTTCTTTTCGGATAACAAAATTTTTCCTTCTTCGTTTCCATATTAGAGTTGTATATTAACAAATACCTATGTTTGGCTACATATGGTCATTAAATCGCTAATAACATTAAGATCCGATTAAATCGTATACAAAATTAGAAATACGAACACATATGAATTCGAGAAACACTCATATCTGCAAATAAAAATAGCTCTT